AACACAAAGGAGAGCTGAGAGGGGAGAGGTAAGGGGAGAGGTTGGACCTGGCAAATGATGCAGGACATGGTGCACAGGCCTGGCTTCCTTACCAGATAGATAAGGAAAAAAACCTGCCTATCAGAACCAAGGGACCTAGGGGCAAAGTTCCAATTTTCATCAGGGAGGGAGGGGGTGGTCCCAGTAACGTCTGTGTGGCTAGACTGGGACAGGAAAGAGAGCAAGAAGCAATCTGGGCTTCAAGGCACTTTCAGTCTAGTTGAGGGGAAATGACAAAACACAAACAACAAATAACAGCTGACATTCACATAACACAGAGGTTCAGTGGAAGACTGCTGGGATTTTGTGGCCAGAGGATATGTGTTCTGATCTGTTTTTAACTGCTTGTGTGACCCTGGACAAGTCTTTTAACTTCCCTTGGCCCGTTTTAGTCATCTGTAAAATGAGGAAGTTGTTAGATTAAATAAACCCTAAGGTCCTTTCCAGCTCTAAATTGAGCCTACAAAGCATTTTATTAACATGATCTTATTTATGGCTCACAACAGCCCTGTGAGGTAGGTACTCTAGGTATTAACTATCCCTATTTTACAGGTGAGAAAACTGAGGCTCAGAAAAGAGTAAGTGATTGGTCTATGGTCAAACAGCTAACAAGCGTTTACTGGAGATTTGAACTCTGCCCCCCTTTTTTTTTCCCTAATGTGTTATGATACCTTGAAGTGATTAAACATTAAACGCTGGAGAGGAGATAGAAACCAAGTGTTGGAAGCACAGAGTAGCGAGAGCTTATTTCTGACTAGGGAGTGGGAAGTTAATAGGATCATAGGATGTAGAAAGGACTTTGCTAATTTTGAAGCTGAGGAAACAGGCCAAAGAAAATGAAGTGACATTGCTAAGGTCACACAGGCAGTAAAAATAGCAGAGCAGGAATAAAACTCAGGGCTTCAGATCCTAAATCCAGTATTTGAGATGAGGCTTAGCAGAGGAGTATGGCACTTCACCTTGAGTTTGAAGACTGGGTAAGATTTCCACAGGTGGACAAGGGACTGGACTTAGAACAGGGAGGTCATTACAAGAGGAAGAAATAAATATAAGGGGCATACTTCTCCCAAATTTATGCTATACTAAGCATCTCTGTACTTTGTGACTAATCCCTAACAAGGTAACCTCTGAGCTTACAGTGTTTGGTACTTTAGTTTTTACTTCATTTTTTTTTAGTGAGGCAATCGGGGTTCAGTGACTCGTTCAGGGTCACACAGCTAGTCAGTGTCAAGTGTCTGAGGCCAGATTATGAACTCAGGTCCTCCTGACTCCAAAGCTGGAGCTCTATCCACTTCGCCACCTAGTTTGTTTGGTACCTTAGACCCCAATGTAGGCCACCTGACCACAGATGAAATTTTTAGCAATAAATGTTTTACCTAATTAGCTAGCCCACACCAACTAATAGGCCAGTAGGGTCTAACCACCTGCCTCCTGCAACCATTGTTTAAGTGACTGCCACCAGGTGTCATGCTAACAGGGTTGGATCAATTAGTAATTGTAATTGGAGTCAAATGTAATTAATTCTATAACTAAATCCATGTGGCCTGCACACACATGGATTTCTGATCATGTGGTCCATTACTAAAAAACTTCTGGTCTAAAGCAAAGATCAGGAACTGTTGGCCCAATGTTGGGATCCTGTCCAGTTAAGAATGCCAAGTGGCCCAGGAAGAACACAGTAACATCTTTCACTCCCCACTTCCTGCCAACTCAGACCCAGTTCCAAGGTTAGGAGAGGAAAAAGCAGGGCTGGAATCTCTTTTTTTTTTCTTCTACCAGCCCCCAAGGTTAGGGCACATTCCAAATTCTGTTCCTTAACTACCAATTCAAATATAAATTAAGTGTGAAGTATCTCTAAGCCTTGAGGGGCATAAAAGAGAATTACCCCTCATATCAAAGGTGTCTGACCAGTGTTATAAGCCATCTTCACCTTCATTGATTATATTTCATAAGAGAATAATGGGGTATTGTACAGGCAGTGGTACAATACTGTTTTGTACAAGCTGTTCTCCATTTCCACCAAGTACAGGACAAGGGAATATCCATAATCCTAACATATTTATAAAGTACTTTCTTTCCAATAACCCTCTGAGATAATGAGGGTATTCCAGGTGAGGATTTGGCATCAGAGCACTTGCACTGGAGTCCTTACTGCCATTTACTAGATATGTGACCTCAGGCAAGACATCCAACCTCTCTGGGTTTCAGGTTTTCAACTGTAAAATAAGGACCTTGAACTTGAGGAGTTCTAAGGTCCCTTCCACTATAAGTCTATGATCCTATGAAAGGTTCAGAAAAGTAAAGGGATTCATCCATATACTAAAGGTCAGAGGAAGCAATCTTAATATGACTGAATTGTGGATTTAAAGTTCTCCCCTACCCTCCTCCCAAAAAAACCTATTGTGGAGGGTATTATCTGGAGGATCTTTTCATGGACTTAGTACTACATAACACTGCTTGAGATCACAAATAGAAGAATCTAGTCCACCCCCTTCATTTTAAAAGTCAGGAAATGGAGGTCCAAAGAGACTTATCCAAGGTCACAGAGGTAGCAAGTGGCAGAGCTGGGATTCAAACCCAGGTACCCTGCCTCCTAATCTCCCTGCTTTTTCCTGTACAGCACTCAACTTAAATGATAGTTACCTTTTATTTCTTAAATGCAGCAGAAAAAAAAATGAGGTTAGACATTCAGAAACATTGCGGCAAGACACTGAAATATTATTCAGAGACGTGTAGAATCTTTGTGGATACGTTTAATAATAGGAGAGGCCAATATTTTGGAGAGCTGATTTTAGATACACTACTGCCTGGAAGCTGTGAAATGGACTAAATAATCCCTTGAGATCTATTCCAGGCCTCTGATTCTATAATTGCACATCCATTAACCATAGGTTAATGGGGAGGGTGGACAGGAGAGGGGAAACTGTTGCATATAGTAATGCCATGTGTTCTCTAGGTCAGGATCCAAAAAGAATATTTCCGAGTGTTTCAAGTCTTGCCTACACAGAGAAGAGATGCTATGGAAAGAATCAATAACAATGTTCAAAAATATTGTTGGATGCAGACCGTGTGGTAATGGGTGGGAATACATTCCAATTAGCTATCTTTTGCAAATTCCTGAAAAGGGAAATTTATCAGTATTTCCAGTTCTCGTGAAATAAGGGCTTAAAAAAAATCTTGCTAGAAAAGACCAAAACAACAACAACAACAACAACCACCCCTCCCCCTGCATTCACAGCAGGAAGTCTTCCATGGCTATTGAGCTCTAAAGGAACAACTCTGCTCATAAGTCCTCATCCAATGTGCTAAGATTTTTACTAGATACAAGGCATAGGGGCGGTTAATTATTGTGCTCGAGAACAACTCAGCTTCCTTGTGTGAGAAAAAAAGGAGAGAAAGATCTGACCAGCTAGTACTACTGGTATTAGGGGTTTTATTTGCATGTCAATGAGCCAAATGGGCAAAGAGGCGAGTTGTGCGGCGTTCTGCGGAACAAGGTTATTATTATCATATTGCCTCACTTAACAATTTCACTGAAAAGGAAGAGTCCTAGCACAGCGTATGTGAGCACTGCGCGATATGGGACGTGCTGCTACGTGCCCACCTCCAGAACTACTTTATTTACAAAGCGATTACCATGTTATCTATTTGTTTTCCTTTTCCAGCAACTGCAGCGTTAGTCAGCCCTTGCATTTCTTAATTACAAACCCGTTCGCTTCTAAATCAGCCCCAAACCGTCAGGCTAAAGCCTGGAGGGAGGCTGTGCAAGTTTGCACACACCCCCACCTCCCGGATCAAGGGCAACAGCAGAAGAAACTGTGTATGTGCAAAAAGGTGGATCTGGGGACGAGGATCGCTGAGTTTGTTTACAGAGCAGAGACGCCTCAGCTCGGATGCCAAAGCTACCAAGAGCAGCAAACGCAAACTTAGCAAAAGCACACGTACCACGGGAGGAACTGAGAGTGACACTGAAAGCGCGGATCGGATCTCCCGGGTTGTGAGCGAGAGGGGCAGTCCGGCTGGCGGAGCCCCGCTTACATGCCTGCCTAGCCGTAGTTGGTCCACCTGCAACAGCTGCTGCTTTTCCCCTTCTCTCCCTTCCCCCACTCCACCACCTCTCTGCCCTTGAAAGCAAATAGGGGGAAAAGAAAAGGGTGGGAAAAAAAAGGTCTAGCCAGTACACAGTTCCCCAGTAACACAAAGCAAGCCCCGGGAAAGGCTTCTTGGGGGTGTGGGCATTCTTCTGCCAGGCGCTTTCAAAGGCACTCGGAGGAGCGCAGCCATTCTTCGAGCTGCTGAGAGAACCAGGGAGGAGAGAGTGGGGGCAAGGCTGCAGAACTACATCCTGGAGGAAGGCTGGGTGGGGGCGGCGCAGTTAACCCCCCACCCCCTTTTATCCTGTAGGTGGCATTCCGGAGCTACTAGGTAAGAAAGAGCTAAGGAAGGTGGCCGAGAGCTATGTCGTGAAGTCTGGGGAGGTAACAGCTGTAGACCCCCCCCACCCACCCCTAGTGCTCTGGGGGGTTGGGTGCGTCCTCTCCCTTCGCTATCTCTCCGGGGCAGGCTCTCCGTTTCCCGGGCTGGGAGTCCAGGGGTGCATTATTCTCCGCGCGGGAGGGGTGAGCGCAAAAGGAGGCTTGAGGTAGGGGAGTGCAGGCGGGGGGCGGGGGGGAAACAGAAGGGCAGCCCCCTTTCTTTTGCAGCCGGGGCGCACCGTTTCGCAGGCAGGGCCCCTAGCCAGCTGCATCCCCTACACGTGCCGCCCTGCAGTGGGGGACTGGACTACCTGGATCCCTTCCAGTTGAGTTTGCGCCGGGCCAGCCTGAACTCCAGGTTTTCGTTTTGATTGCCTGTGAGGCTTTTGCTCCTCCCTTCCTGAAATCCTATATTAACTGTGGCCAAAGCTGTAAGAAACATAGCTCATTGTTGGCAAATGCCGATGAGCCTCGCCGAGGAGTAAGGGGAAGGGAAGGGGAAAAATAAAAGAGAAAGGGGGCTTGGGTCTTCAGGCGCAGCAGCAGCAACAAGACGACAGCAAAAATATCACGTAACCGACCTCGGAGGAAACAAGGAAAATACTCTATATGCAGCTGGGCGGTTTTTAAACCGAGAGATTCTACCAACAACCTTCGGAACAGAAAGAGCAAAGACCGGAGAAGGTAAGTGTTGCCGGCTAATCTCCTGCAACTTGCAGGGTTTGCCTTCATCAAGAGTGGTAGCCTGTACAAGGGAAATAACAGGATGGGTATGGTGGATTTCATTCTAAAAGTTCTTGTGGCGGGGCTCAAGGAGACTTCCTTTATTAACCTCCTCTGGGGTGTCGGCTTTCGTCTCCCCACTGCCCTGTTTTTCTTTTTGTTTTGTTTTTGTGGGGGATTAGCCTCCCTCCTCCCCTGTTTGGTTCATATTGGGGGGACGTTTGGGGGGCATCACTGGACTTGCTTTCCAGCAGCGAAAGAGACGGTTTCTGCAGTATCGGGCACTTTTCCGGGTGGCAGGTCTGCGGGAGTTAGGAAGTGGGGCGGATGGGGCAGGAGAGGCGGCGGCAGCGGCAGGCAATTGCTCTGAGGAATTGCAACGCTTAGGTTCAGTGTGCTGAGGGCGGCTGCAAGCTGTTTGGGGGCAGAAGCAGAGAGGCAAGAGAGTGGGGTGTTCGAGCTGGAGACACGTGTGGTGGGGATTTATACATCTCTGCATTTTTTTTTAAACTTTCAGGGTTGGAAATGGCTGACCACATGATGGCCATGAACCACGGGCGCTTCCCCGATGGCACCAACGGGCTGCATCACCACCCTGCTCATCGGATGGGAATGGGTCAGTTTCCAAGCCCTCATCACCACCACCAGCAACAACAACAACACGCCTTCAATGCCTTAATGGGCGAGCATATACACTATGGCGCTGGGAATATGAATGCCACTAGCGGGATCAGACATGCGATGGGGCCAGGGACTGTGAATGGAGGGCACCCCCCCAGCACTATGCCCCCCACGGCCAGATTTAACAACTCCCAGTTTATGGGGCCCCCAGTCGCCAGCCAGGGAGGCTCCTTACCGGCCAGCATGCAGCTGCAGAAGCTAAACAACCAGTATTTCAACCATCACCCTTATCCCCATAACCACTATATGCCGGATTTGCACCCTGCAAGCCACCAGATGAACGGGACGAACCAGCATTTCAGAGATTGCAACCCAAAGCACAGCAACAGCAGCGGCAACAGCGGCGGTAGCAGCAGCAACAGCAGCAGCAACATGCCTTCCTCGGTTCCCCACGTCCCTGCTGCGATGCTGCCTCCCAATGTCATAGACACTGACTTCATAGACGAGGAAGTGCTCATGTCCTTAGTGATAGAAATGGGTTTGGACCGCATCAAGGAGCTGCCTGAACTCTGGCTGGGACAAAACGAGTTTGATTTTATGACGGACTTCGTGTGCAAACAGCAGCCCAGCAGAGTGAGCTGCTGACTTAATTTAAACAACAACGACAACAACAATGACAACCACAACAACGACAACCACAACAACAAAAGAAACAGATCCGACTTTTTTGGTGTGAATTAAAAACATTCCCTTAGACACAGTATCTCGCTTTTCAGGTCTTGAACGGTTTGAGAACTTGGAAAACAGTAAACTATAAAACTTGTACAAATTGGTTTAAAAGAAAATTGCTGCCACTTTTTTGGGGTTTTTTTGTTTTTCTGTTTTGTTTTTTGTAGCCTTGACATTCACCTCCCTTATGTAGTAGTAATATCTAGCTAACTGGTCTTTTCTGTTGTTTTTACTCCTTATTTCCTCACTTAATTTCTACAGTGCTCAACTGTTAGATATTAATCTTGGCAAACTGCTTAATCTTGTGGATTTTGTAGATGGTTTCAAATGACTGAACTGCATTCAAATTATGAGTGGAAGGAAAAATTGCATTAGTTGGTTGCATGAACTTTGAAGGGCAGATATTACTGCACAAACGCTGCCATCTCGCTTCATTTTTAACTATGCATTGGAGTACAGACTAATTTTGAAAATATGCTAAACTGGAAGTTTAAACAGATGTGGGCCAAACCATTCTGGATCAGGAAAAGTAATACTGTTACTTTAAAGTCTGCTACCCATCCCCCTCCCCCATATGTACAGACAATAATATGGTGTGGAATGTAGTCAGTGGCAACATTTCACAGATTTTTATTTTGTTTCTGTCTTCAACATTTTTGACACTGTGCTAATAGTTTATTCAGTACATGAAAAAGATACTACTGTGTTGAAAGCTTTTTAGGAAATTTTGACAGTATTTTTGTACAAAACATTTTTTTGAAAAAATACTTGTTAATTTATTCTATTTTAATTTGCCAATGTCAATAAAAAGTTAAGAAATATTTCAGTTTTTCTAGAAGTCATTTACAAAGGGTGGGGAATGTTTTTCATTTGGACTTTTGGTTGGTCCTTCTCTCTCCCACTCCCCCTCCTCTCTCCCCCCACCTCCCCAGTGGACCACTTTAACAATAAGCTGTTGATGAGAACAAACATTCCAAAGGAGAAATTACTCCGCACCAATGCAGGTCATGGTGAGCTTAAGGGAGAGGGAGGGGGGGAAGGGAGGGTGCAGGATTTAACCAGAACTGGCATCACACCACATTGCTATCATTGGAACATTAGTGTGGGTTAATCTCAAACTGCAGAGTTGTCAGAGCAACTTTTTTTTTTCCATTTGCCAACACAATTCAAAGGTAACCCAGAATTAAGCCTGTGATTTATTAGATGTTTACCTTAGACTTTCATTTACACCTAAATTTGGTTTCTCTTTTTATATTTATTTTTAAACTCTACCTGGGTGTTTGATCAATAAGACTTTGGGATGGTGTATAGAGAAAGGTGTAACACAAAGATATAAATACATTTCTCTTTCATGGCAAAACTAGGCTTCCTCCATAAAAATAGAGGATTACATAGTTTTCTAGCCTCATTTCAGAAAGGGCTTCAGCCTAGTTTGTAGTCCTTGGCAAAAAAAAAAAAAAAGACAGAAAATCTGTTTTTTGATTTGGGTCATCTTTCTTGTTCTGCTAATGACACTTACATTTTCACTTAACCAAGTTCCATTCAAAAATAATTCAGTTCTATCAGTGCCCCACATACATCCCCAATGAGTCTAACCCCCTCCTCTTTTTTTTCACCATTTAGTATTTCTTCTAAACTTCTTTGCCTTGAGTTCCAAGTAATTGAAATTTTACTTAAGTGTGTAATGAAAGAAGAATATAACCATATTACATGGGTGGCAGATTTTATCTTGTAAAAAAGAAATTGGGGAAAAGGTAATATTGTTACATCTCAAATTATCACAGCTGGTTGGAAGAAGAATTTTGCTTTGTTTTCCCTTTAATGTTTCCATGACTTCCTTGTGTTTATAAAATCAACACACCTAAATTCACCAAAGGATGTAGACTTTTTCTTTTTATTTAACCTTATAGAAAGTGGTAAAGGCTAGGGAAAACCATTCTAGTAATATTTTAAAAGTAGGATTTAGTCTGTTTAACAGGACAGATTCTTCAATCCCCAAGTCAACTTTTTAAGACTGCTTGGGGGTGGGAATAGAAATAGGGAGGTGTTGGTGAAGTATTATATTACAATGTGTCTAGCATCAAAACCCATTTAATTTATTATTTGTATCAAGTCCAACAAATTCCAATTCTAGGTATGGACATAATTCATTACATGATATCCTATGGTAAAGCCAAAAAACTTCATTTCTAAGGTTGGGTATCTATGGGTTTTTTTATACTTGTAGTCGATGCTTCTTCATTAAAAACTAAGTTCTATATTTCCCATTTCTTTGAGTATTCTGCAATGTGCAAGTCCCATTTGGCCCCCCCTTAAGTCATCAGTATCTGCTGATCCAGATTTTTCTACTTTAATAAATAGTTAAACTGAAGTTTTCCTTCACTCCAGCATGTCAATACTACATCTGCAATCAGCAGTAAATCTTCCAAGCTAAGCATTTTCACAGTAAGTTTGTTTCGGAGGCTCAAGTGGAAAATATATTTGCATGCATATTAATATCCAAATCCTTTTCTGTAGTCTAGCTCTTTTTCACTTGTGCCAGAAAAAAAAAGCTTTTGGAAGCATTGTTTTTACATGGGGAAAAGTAGAAAAACAATTTCCTTTTCTATTCCGTACCCCCTTCCCTCTCCCCCCTCCCCCATCCCACCATTTACTAAGCCAGGGAATTGTCACAACACCTGCTCTATCACTGAATTCCTCCTGTTCCTGAGAATGCTGGTACCATGCATGTATAGATGCAGAGATGGCAAAGGGCTATTATTAGATCCCTGTGTCTGTTCTTGCCAGAGCAGGCAAATCAAACACAAGAACTAGGTTAAAAGCAAAATTTCTCTTTGGTAAAAATGCTAATTTTTCTTCTCTTTTGAATGAATCTTTTTTTTTTCATTAAAACTACCCTGTGGTCAACAATTGGCTGGATTCTATTTGATATCTGTAGTGTTCTTAAGCAGAGAAAAATAACTCCTTGTTTGAACAACCTGATTAATGAAACCTGTACAGTGACCTAGTTTACCAGGCTACTGGCAGACATTTGCAAAACCTTTTGTGGTCTTGCTTCCTACTAAGTTCCTTCTAGCATACGGGGAAACTTGACCTCCGTACTTTGGCTGTTTGTCAGAAAGTTCTAATATGCTATAGGAGATCTTTAGTTCATTTCCACCATGTCCATAAATAGACAGTCTCCACTTTATTTGCAAGGAGAGATCAATGATAAACAACAGCCCAGCATAATAAACACATGTAAGAAAAATAGGGCCTCATTAATAAAAATGGTATCACTGTCTTGTGGCTGATAAAACACCAGTGGCAGCCTCTTTGCTGAGGCTGATAAAGATGTTACAGCTATGGATGGGTCTTTTAAGAACAGTTACCTAATCAGTGCTGTTTATGGGGTATGTGCTGCTGAGCACAAGTAGAAAAAAGGCTGACATCTATTGTAAAGTTTATGGTCTCCATGACTTTTACTACTGTAAAAGCCTGGGATAGATATAAATTGATGTCAACATTAAAGGCCAGATCCTTTAGAGCAAAATATTAATCCACTAATCTATTATGGGTGGCCAGCTTTGAAATGTAAACTTCCCAGTGCTGAAATCTATTAGGTGTTTTCGCCCCCTTGTGGAATGTATTCAGAAAAGCAGGAAATACTTCCTTAAAGAATAAATCGACCCTTGCTAGTCCTCAACATTGTCGGATTTCAATTGTGAGGCAGAAGTCAGGTATTTGAACCGAAACCCTTCAACTGGGGCCTAAGAAGCATCTAGAAAAGAAAACCTTCATGAAAGGAAAGAGCCTTTCCCCTCATCAAAGGTCATTACAGATGATTTGTTGGAAAAGCTCTGACTTGTCTCTTGCTATTGAAAAAGACACCATGGCTGCCATGCTTTGAACAACTGCAAGAAAGGGTGTTTCCCATGACTACTCTGCCATGCTGGAGCTTTGTAATAAGGGACAACTGAAATGCCAACCCTGGTGAATCTGGGACAACTGCTCTGCACCCTCTCAATAAGATCTGAAGGTCTTCATTTCAGGGCAGGATTGAATAATAATGCCTTCAATGGGACGCAGAAGGGAGAATTTAGGTATGCAGAATGCAATTACCTAAGTTGGAATTTGACCAAGCCCACTAGCTCTACTCTAGTGAAAAGTGTCATGGGATCTTTAATGAACAGGAGTATGGCTGTCCAATTGATTCAGTAAAATTTACTTTAAAATAAACCTGGCAGATAACATTGTCTGCACACACACACACAAACAAAAAGAAGAAAAAGAAAAAATGAAAATCTCTCCAAGAAAAAAAAACAATTAAGAAGTCAAGGAATTTAGGACTCAAGCCATTGGCAATTTTTTCTATTTACTTTCTTTTTCTTTCCCTCTCTTCTTTTTCAAATTCTTCTGCTGCTTCTTTTTTTTCCCACTTCAGACTCTCACATGCTCTCCCAGGGTATTGTTCTGTTAACACAAAAGAGGTGTTACACATAGCTTCAGAGATGGTATTTAGTCATTGCAGTACTGTATCACTATCATCAAAATCAGAGCTCCGGTGCTGGGGAAAAGCGAAGCCTCAGCCTTGGGAACAATAGTTAGCACATCGAATGACTGAACTAGTGAACCACCATTATCCTCTGTCCTGTTTTTCTTTTTTTTCTCCCAGAAGAGAAACTACAATGGCAATGTCAGAATTATAATAGCAACGGACTGGTTTAAATTACTTGACCTATTTTTTACCCAACAAAATAAAAAAAGATGTGTTCAGAAGCCTTCCTTAATGTTTGATTTGGAAGGAAAAATTGAGGAATACTTTCCAGCAAGGGATGTACTCTGCTTCCTAATTCTTCACAGTTTGCTTAAAAGTAATCAAGCTTCATCTACTATATGTTTTATCATTCCTTAGCCATTTGATATGATTTCCTGTTTCAGAATGGTAAAGGGAGAAGATTCACTCACTTAAATGTCAAATTATTTGTAGAAAACATTCTAAGGGCCATTGATATAAATCATTGTAGAATTTATCTATAAAAAACCACAATTTTAAATATCTGAGAAAAATAGGAACTTGTTGTCTTGGGAAATTCAATTTGTGGTCCCAGGAAAGAGCAGACTATTGGGCAACACAGACTGTGAAGAGTTAAGGGGGAGGGGTATGAGGTGAAATGAGATGTAATGGGAAAAGCATTGAGTTGAATTTCACAGAATCATCTACTTGGAGCTGGAATGAACCTTAGAGATCATCTAATTTGACCCCCCTCCCAATTTTATAGATGAGGAAACAACCCAGAAAAATAAAGAGTTGGTGTTCAAATCCAGATCTGACATTAAATCCAGAGCATTTTTTTACCATACCTTAGAGTCCAAAACTTTAATCCTGGCTCTGTCACTTATTAGTTGTGGGAGTTTAGGCAAGTTATCTCTGAGTCCCGGTGCTCT